AAGCCCATTTTGGGTTTCATGACCTCTCTGTCAAGACTCGAGGAACCCAGATGGAGCGAAACCAGAAAAGACAAGACTTGATTAGAAAAAGTAGTGATATTTATTATTTACAGTGTCTATTTACAGTGAGTCATCTCTTGGAGATCCTGGGGAAAAAGAGTTGAATCAGTGGAATCCAATTGTAGTTTTTAGTAATCTTGTTTTGTCCTTCCTTACAGATGGTGAAGCAAGAGTTTAACGTGGATGTGAGTCACCAGAGATGGTCCAAAGGAAGGCGGACAATGCAGGGAGGACAGACGTGTGGCTGGAAGGCGAGGCACGGAGAACATGAACCAGAACCACGGGAGTCTGCATCCAAACAGGAGCCAAGGAAACAGGAGGACTGTAGGCACAGAAACGAAGGTAAGTATTTCTCATATAATCTTAATTTAACTGGCCAAAAGCATAAATACCAAATAGGGTACAATGCTCCAGCGGTGAGTCAAACTGGACTGCAGCCTTAAATAGTAGCAGGAGCTCGTCAGATGGATGGCTGCCAGCTGGTGGTAATCAGCAGCCAATTGGAGGAGGAGCTGCAGGCAGTGGAAACCTTACACTCTCCTGCACATTTTGTTTTTATCTTTTCCTTTATGTGTATTGCTTTTTTTGTGCAAACAATAGAACAACAAAACAACAACAACAAATAATACTGTTGGTTATTCATCCATATTTCATATTTGCCATAATTTCGTATTGTTATTATTCAAACTGACAATAAAGTTACAGAATTATGTATTTAAATTACCAAATTCTTTGTCTTTTCTTCGAGAGAGGAGAATTTAACTTGCTACAAGCACCCACTTATATATGTTTGGAGTTGGGGTCAGTCAACATTTATTACATAACTGAAAGGTTAGCGTACACACCTGTTAAAGGGTGTTCAGACCACAACCTACTCCCCTACAGTGGCATGATGCCAAACACACCAACAGGCCTCGTAAAGTTCAGCTTTAGCAACTCATTTCTGCTGTGTAGCTTCCTGCTTTCAGTATGTGCAAAATCCATATAAAATAAATAAATGAAAAGGATAATTGTAAAAAAGCACTGTACCCATTGCCCCCTCCCTGGGCTGCCACCTTACCGTGGTGGAAGGGTTTGAGTGTCCCAATGATCCTAGGAGCTATGCTGTCAGGGGCTTTACGCCCCTAGAAGGGTCACCCATGGCAGACAGGTTCTAGGTGAGGGACCAGACAAAGTGCAGCCCAAAGACCCCAATGATGAGAGAAATAAACGGACCTAATGTTCCCTTGCCCGGACGTGGGTCACCGGGGCCCCACTCTGGAGCCAGGCCTGGAGGTGGGGCATGCGGGCGAGCGCCTGGTGGCCGGGCTTTTACCCATGGAGCTCGGCCGGGCACAGCCCGAAGAGGAGACATGGGTCCCCCTTCCCATGGGCTCACCACCTGTGGGCGGGGCCAAAGGGGTCGGGTGCAATGTGGGACAGGTGGTGGACAAGGGCGGGGACCCTGGCGGTCTGATCCTCGGCTACAGAAGCTGGCTATTGGGATGTGGAATGTCACCTCACTGGTGGGGAAGGAGCCTGTGCTGGTGTGTGAGGCTGAGAGGTTCCGGCTAGAAATAGTCGGACTCACCTCTACGCATGGCTCTGGCTCTGGAACTTTCCTTGAGAGGGGCTGGACACTCTTCCACTCTGGAGTTGCCCCTGGTGAGAGGCGCCGAGCAGGAGTGGGCATACTTATTGCCCCCCAACTTGGTGCCTGTGTGTTGGGGTTCACCCCAGTGAATGAGAGGGTGGCCTCCCTCCGTCTACGTGCGGGGGGACGTGTTCTGACTGTCGTTTGTGCTTATGCACCAAACGGCAGTTCAGATTATCCACCCTTTCTGGAGTCCTTGGAGGGGGTACTGGAAAGTGTGACTCCTGGGGACTCCCTTGTTTTACTGGGGGACTTCAATGCTCATGTGGGCAATGACAGTGAGACCTGGAGGGGTGTGGTTGGGAGGAACGGCCCCCCTGATCTGAACCAGAGTGGTGTTCTGTTGTTGGACTTCTGTGCTCGTCATGGATTGTCAATAACGAACACCATGCTCAAGCATAAGGGTGTCCATATATGCTCTTGGCACCAGGACACCCTAGGCCGCAGTTTGATTATCGACTTTGTCATCGTCTCATCTGATCTGCGGCCACATGTCTTGGACACTTGGGTGAAGAGAGGGGCAGAGCTGTCCACTGATCACTACCTGGTAGTGAGTTGGCTCCGATGGTGGGGGAGGATGCCGGTCAGACCTGGCAGACCCAAACGTATTGTGAGGGTTTGCTGGGAACGTCTGGCAGAGTCTCCTGTGAGACGGAGCTTTAACTCCCACCTCCGGGAGAACTTCGAACATGTTCCGAGGGAGGTGGGGGACATTGAGTCTGAGTGGACCATGTTTCGTGCCTCTATTGTTGAGGTGGCTTACCGGAGCTGCGGCCGCAAGGTTGTCGGTGCCTGTTGCGGTGGCAACCCTCGAACCCGATGGTGGACACCGTTGGTGAGGGATGCTGTCAGGCTGAAGAAGGAGTCCTATTGGGCCTTTTTGGCCTGTGGGACCCCAGAAGCAGCTGATGGATATCGGCAGTCCAAGCGACATGCGGCTCGGGTGGTCGCTGAGGCAAAAACTCGGGCATGGGAGGAGTTCGGAGAGGCCATGGAGAATGACTTCCGCACGGCTTCGAGGCAATTCTGGTCCACCATCCGGCGTCTCAGTGGGGAAAGCGGTACGCCACCAACAGTGTTTATAGTGGGAGTGGTGTGCTGCTGACCTCAACTTGGGATGTTGTGGGTCGGTAGACAGAATACTTTGAAGACCTCCTCAATCCCATAATCTTCCACTGAGGAAGCAGAGCCTGGGGACTCTTTGTCGGGCCCTCCAATCTCGGGTGCTGAGGTCACCGAGGTGGTTAAAAAGCTCCTCGGTGGCAGGGCCCCAGGGGTGGATGAGATTCGCCCGGAGTTCCTTAAGGCTCTGGATGTTGTAGGGTTGTGTTGGCTTACGCGACACTGCAATATTGCATGGACATCGGGGGAAGTTCCCCTGGATTGGCAGACCGGGGTGGTGGTCCCCCTATTCAAAAAGGGGGACCGTAGAGTATGTTCCAACTACAGGGGAATCACGCTCTTAAGCCTCCCTGGTAAGGTCTATTCGGGGGTTCTGGAGAGGAGGGTCCGTCGGATAGTCGAACCTCGGATACAGGAGGAGCAGTGCGGTTTTCGTCCTGGCCGTGGAACACTGGACCAGCTCTACACTCTCAGCAGGGTCCTGGAGGGTGCATGGGAGTTTGCCCAACCAGTCTACATGTGCTTTGTGGACTTGGAGAAGGTGTTCGACCGCGTTCTTCGGGGAACCCTGTGGGGGGTACTCTGGGAGCATGGGGTACCGGGCCCTTTGGTCCCTGTATGACCGGTGTCAGAGCCTGGTCCGCATCGCTGGCAGTAAGTCGGGCTTGTTCCTGGTGAGAGTTGGACTCTGCCAAGGTTGCCTTTTGTCACCGATTCTGTTCAAAACTATTATGGACAGAATTTCTAGGCACAGCCAAGGTGTTGAGGGGATCCGTTTTGGTGGCCTTAGGATTGCGTCTCTGCTTTTTTGCAGATTATGTGGTCTTATTGGCTTCATCAGATCGTGATCTACTTTCGCTGGAGCGGTTTGCAGCCGAATGCGACGCGGCCGGGATGAAGATCAGTTCCTCCAAATTCGAGGCCATGGTCTTGAGCCGGAAAAGGGTAGAGTGCCCTCTCCGGGTCAGGGAGGAGGTCCTAACCCAAGTGGAGGAGTTCAAGTATCTTGGGGTCTTGTTCACGAATGAGGGAAAAATGGAACGTGAGATCGATAGGCGGATAGGTGCAGCGTCTGCAGTGAAACAGGCGCTGTACAGGTCTGTCATGGTGAAGAGAGAGCTGAGTCAAAAGGCAAAGCTCTCAGTTTACCCATCAATCTACGTTCCTACCCTCATCTATGGTCATGAGCTTTGGGTTGTGACCTTAAGAATGAGATCTCGGATACAAGCGGCCGAAATGAGTTTTCTCTGCAGGGTGTCTGGGCTCTCCCTTAGAGATAGGGTGAAAAGCTCGATCATCCGGGAGGGACTCGGAGTAGAGCCGCTGCTTCTCCACGTCGAGAGGAGCCAGTTGAGTTGGCTTGGGCATCTGTTTAGGATGCCTTCTGGATGCCTCCCTGGTGAGGTGTTCCGGACACGTCCCACCGGGAGGAGGCCCAGAGGAAGACCCAGGACACGCTGGAGGGACTATATTTCTCGGCTGGCCTGGGAATGCCTTGGGATTTCCCCGGAAGAGCTGGCCCAAGTGGCTGGGGAGAGGGAAGTCTGGGCCTCCCTACTTAGGCTGGTACCCCCGCGACCCGACCCCGGATAAGCGGAAGAAAATGGATGGATGGATGGACTGTACCCATTTAGAATCACATTAAAACAATTACGGGAAGGGAAACAATCAAATGTAATGCTGACATAGTACTAAAGACTCATCTCATTCGCAGCGTGCACATAAACCACAGCGCAAGATGACGAAGGGATGGATGGATGCATTAACATTGATAACACATTGCAAAAAAATAATAAAATATTTTTAAAAAATCACTCCACTGAGATGAGCCATTGCTAAGACATTGATATGTGACGTTACAGGAAGTGATGACAAGGGAGAGCAAAGCAGCAAAGATTCTAACGTTTCTTTAGATTATTTTGAGTCACTACCAGAGAGAGACAAAGAGTCAGAGTTCAAATAATGTTGTTTCGATAAACAAAGACCAAAGTTCCACTTTCATGTAATTTCCTGTTTTACTTTGGCTGCGCCATGTTAAAAAAAATGCCAGTTACATAACAAAATGAGTAAAATCGCATATTTTGCCAAACTTCTTAAATATTAAAACATTTTGTTCCACTTGTATTTGTAGAATATGCATGTCACAGGCACTTTAACTACTTGTTAACAAGAGGTGGAGTTGTACCATTTTGGGGCAGAGCTTGGAGGTGAATATGTTGCGTATGGTTGTGAGCAGCAAGATGTGGAGCTCCTGGTTCAGGCCCAGGAAATGGCTGAAGGACAGAATCACCACCTCTTTGGGATGAACATCCAGCCATTCTTTTATATCCTTTAGGATGCTCTGTGAACAAAACACAAGATCAAAGCTTTATTTTAAATGCTGAAAACACCTCTTTAGTCTGTAACCCGTCAGGTGCAGTTGTTAGTTGTCACAAACAGGATCTACAGTATACAAGAAGTCTAGAACTGTATGGCTTTTCGTTTTTTTTTTTGTGATTTTTTGGGGGGTGGGGGGTGGTTGTTCAGATCTAATATAAAATGCATTTTATGCAGGATTGAAATCCTAAAATATTAAAAACACAGGTACTATTTGGTGGTATCGTTTTCAGGTACAGCCCCAGTTGTGTGTGTTTTTAATTATTATGTTCTTTTGTTGGTTCCTGTGTACGTATGATGAATGTGTGTCAAAGCAGATTTTTTGCCACAATTGTGGTAGACAATAAAGTTGTATCTTATCTTATCTTAGAAAAACAGTGCCTTCGCACAAAATTGTTCACTACAACAAATATTTATTTATTACTTAGCTTGCTGTGCATTGTTGTGTTCTGTGTGCTCTTCAACTATGTGGACAATTTTAAGTCAAATTTAGAATGTTTTGGTGATTCATTCTCAGTGTTTTTCACTTTTATTTTATACAGATAAAGTTGAAAACACAGGGTGGATGTGGGTGCAGAAGGTGTTCACCTTCCTGGTTTAATGATTGGACTGGGCTGTTTTCACAAGACAATGTCGACTCGCAGGAAAGAGAAGAAAGACGAAAACTTTGTGCACAAAAAAGCAACAAAATAAAGATTGAGCAGCTTATATTCTTTGTTTTTCTACAAAAAGGTACGACAAATTGCAAGATTTGTGTGGTTAGTAATTCAGGCAGCCCCACTGATATATATACTCAGGAGATGCTGCTGATCATTTTAAAACAATATTACTGAGTTCACAGACTGTATGACTCATCTTTGCTTACAACATGATTCATGTCATTTTTGACATGTTTTGTAAATGTTGATGTTGGTTTTTTGTTAGTTGGTTTTGTTAGTTTGTCAATAATAATGCACAATATAAAAAAAGAGGATCAGCCTTTCCTTTTTTACACTTTTGTTTTTAGTGGTTTATGACACTAAACATGCATATTGCAAGAATTTATCAGTCAGAGTCAGAGATTCTTTATTGTCATTCGCACCTCATGTGGTACATGTGGTGGAGCGAAATTATGTACACAGGGTCCCAGTTACATCCAACAATAAAATGTA